TCTGGTGAGGCCGCACCTGGAGTACTGTGTGCAGTTCTGGGCTCCCCAGTATAAGAGGGACGTGGAGCTTCTCAAGAGGGTGCAGAGAAGAGCAACTAAGGTGATTAAGGGACTGGAACATCTCTCGTATGAGGAGAGACTGAGTGAGTTGGGCCTGTTTTCCCTGGAGAAGAGAAGGCTGAGAGGGGATCTGATTAACATGTATAAGTTCATGAAGGGAGAATGCAGGGAAGAAGGGGACAAGCTTTTTTCATTGGTGGCCAGTGATAGGACAAGGGGAAATGGGCATAAGCTGGAGCACAGGAGGAACTTCTTTGCTGTGAGGGTGCCAGAGCCCTAGCACAGGCTGCCCAGGGAGGTTGTGGAGTCTCCTTCTCTGGAGATCTTCAAAACCCGCCTGGATGCCGCCCTGTGTCACATGCTCTAGGTGTGCCTGCTTGAGCAGGAAGGTTGGACTAGATGATCTCTAGAGGTCCCTTCCAACCTTAAATATTCTGTGATTCTGTGATTCTGTGATTCTGTGATTCTGTGAACGTGGTGCAAAGAAATTAGGGGTCATTGTTTTTTTCCTGGGGTGGTATTGCTGTACTTATCTGATGGTGACATACCCACAATTAAAGGCTGGTGCATCTCTCTATGGGTGTGTACATACTTACTGTACTTATCGCTCACCTATCCTCTGATAGTCCTCTCCAAATGTAATTCTAGGACTACTGAGCAAAACATGGACCTTCCCAATCAGTTTTAAAGAATTCAAGCTTGTATGCCACAAAGGGCATTTTACAATCTTCTAAATACAGATATTCCATCTGTATCTTAAGAAACTATCTCAAAGGGAGTTTTAATCTGGGAGGGTATTCTTCTAGGAGCTGTGTTTGTAGCAGCTTGCCAGTTAAAGCTAATGATAATGGGATCATATTGCATGAGATGTGAAAAACTTCTAATTGCACAAGTAGAGTGCTGTATTTTATATCTGAAATTCGTTTAGAAGTCAGTTAATCTTTTTCTGTTGTTGTTGTGATTTCCTAGGAGTAATCAAGGATCAAGGATACATCTGATGATGTATCCAACAGTTTTTATTTTTGCTGAAAAAAATGAGTTAATCCCCACTCTGGTAAAGTATGCCACTAACCTCTGCCTTCTTTCACTTCCGAGTTTTTGATTTCCTTCAAACTGAAGGAAACTTATACTAGTCCTTCAAGATCAAAAAATAAGCAGAAAAAAAAAAAAAAAGAGAGACTGACAGAAGGCCTAATGAAACCTCAGCAAAGAATGATGACTGGATTTTTTTAAGTCTCTTTCTTCTGTCAAAGTATTGCTAGTAAGTCAGGTGACAAAGTTTTGTAAAAATCCCATTGTTGTTTTCAGTTACTCAGGGTTTAGGCTGAGTCTTTGGCTGTGGGACTTGTTTTCTATAGATCCTAGGATTCTTGACAGTTTTTTGAGATTTCACACTGAAAGAAACATTTAGAAGTGGCAACGTGCTGGGGTCAGTAAATTAGAAAATGTGATGAGGAACAATGATTAGGAATTTACTTCTTCTTTAGTTGCATTTGATGCTTTTTTTTCATTATCATAAAGTAATTAGAACAAGCTAAGCCTATGAGGGAACTACCCTTTTCTATGAAAGTCATTCTTGAACAAAGAAAACTCTATACTGAGAATTACAAAGGTAATGTGCATTATCTTTGCACTAATGCAACATTATGTTGCACTCATGCAACATAAGCTCTGCTGCCTGTATGCAATATATTTTTGCCTAAATATCATTTAGGATCACATTTTATTACTTCAAACCCTACTCTGGCCATGTGCAGGGGAGAGAGTGCTTAGGGCTTGAAAGAACTCGTATTTACTCCCTTTCTAGCCCTGTGATGAAGGAGATTATTTCTGTCTCATTACACGGGAATGTTGTTCCTTGTCTCCTATATTCACAACTTCTGCTGTCTATGTAAATCTTGTTCATCACCAGATACGTTTACTGACTAGAAAGATAGACTTTCAGATTTAAAAGCAACTAACCAATCAAAAAAACAACCTAGATGCAGCATTTTGAAACATAAGCACAATGGATAACATTAAGGCTGGAAAGGAAAACTTCAGACTGGGATTTATGAGCTTTTGGTCATTTCAGTCTCTACAGCTATTTTCTGTGATGACTTACGACTGTCTATACAGTGATGGACAATAAGCTTTGTGCACAGATATCATATCCTATGGAATGAGATCAACCTGTGGAACAAGTTCCTTCAGAATTTTGCTTGTTCTCATGCCTATCTAAAAACATTTTTTATAACAGGTTTTATTATATCACCTGGGCAACTCCAAATTAGTTTTTGGAGATCTGGTCTGTAGGAATTTCCACTTGAATTTTTCACATCTTCATGCTTGGTTTGAGATAGAGAAAGAAATATTTTTTTCATGTAAATTGGCTCATGTTTATGTTTGATTAGCCGTAAAACAAAATACATTGAAAAAGTCTTAACTAGGTCAAATGGTATTTGTTTTCATAGGTTTACTTGAAGTAATCAGTCACCTAGAAATGAGTGGGAGTAAAGAAGATGGAACCAGACTCTTCTCAGTGGCGTTGAGTGAAAAGACAAAAGGTAATGGGCACAAAACAGAATTCAGGAAATCCCACTTAAACATAAGAATAAAGTTTTTTATTGTGAGTTTTGTCCAAAACCAGAAGACTGGAGATGCTGTAGAGTCTCTATCCATGCAGAAACTCAAAATCTGACTGGAAGTGGCCCTGAGCAGAGTGCTGCAACTGACCCGAGTGGAGTTGGACTCCACAATCTTCAGAGGTCCCATCTAACGTCAAAAACTTTATTCTTTGAAATTTGGAAATGACATTACACTTATTTCAACAATTCTTGCTAGAATTATAGATTCTTTGCCTTCATTTACAAAATGTAAATAGAAATATATAAATATCCAAATAAATAGAAACATTGTTCAAGCTTTCCAAGTACATACTTCCATAAACCATGTAAGAAGTTGCATCCATTGGTGTTTTTTGTAGTCTTTTTATTCCTTTTCAACATATTTAGCATTATTTATTCAACATATTTTAGCATTTTAAACATGTAGGCGATACTTTTCTTTATTTCCTTGCAGATTTTTGGACTTCTCTTTACATTCTAACAAACTTTCCAGACCCTTATTTCAAAAGAGACTTTTATTTATATATTATCTCTTTTCTGTTCTGTCCATAGGAGAGCTTGGTTAATATTGTCTAGCCTAGTTCAAGGAGTTGAATTATGAATAAGCTAAGGACTGGCACCATAGAATATGGCTATTTAAATTAATATCTTTACTAGGATGTTCTCTATTACAGGTAACCTTACCAGAATAGAAGCTGAAGTAAAATTATAAAGTTAATTCTGAAGTAAAAATTTATCCAGGAGAAACTCATGGCTTTGTACCTCACAAAAGACAAGATGTCAATCAAGCATCAACACAGTATCAAAGAACCAAACCTTATGGTTGTCTCATTTTAAAATAATCAGCAGTGTTAATTAATTCTGCTGTCTCTTTTTTTTTTTTTTTTTTTGTCTGGAAGCTCATTATACTTTTAATTACCGCAGTGTAAAATCTGGATATCCCTGAATTCAGTGGAGGCCCATTAACATCGCTAGGGTAAATCTGTTACAAGGGGACAATCAGGTCTCATATTTAGAGAGCAACAATCATTCACAAATATTGGAACAGCGTGTGCACTCTAACACTAAGGCTGTGATTATGCACACAGTTGCAGTAGCAGTTTGGAAATGACAAGGCTAAAATACATAAAGACAAGCATGGCCAAATCTTCTTGAACAACTTGTGATTCATGAAGTAACTGGAAATTCAGGTGTGGAGCCGAAAGAGGTGTGTGCTTACAGCACGAAGTCCAACCACCTACAGGCACATAGAGGGTGCGTGTGGTACATGAGGTTCTGGCTTCTGTATAAAAGTGCTGAAAAAAGGATTATTCAGAAAGGAACGTGGAACCAGCAAGAAATCACATTAAAAACCATTTAGCTTATAAGGTTTAATTTTAATATTATGATAAGGGGGCATGTGATTATGTACAAGAAGAACTAAGGGAAGTGAAAAGGCAGTTAGGCAAATTCAGAGAAAAATATATATTGTATATATTGCAATATATTGCATGTATTGTACATATTGTCATAATTTCTTGTTTCTTGGAAGGATTTGAAGAACTACTTTTCTAGCATTTATTTTACTACTCTTCTTTGAAGTTGCTATGAGTATCTAAACACTGTACATGGTATAAACTGTTTTTGTCTCTCTGCTTCACTTTGGAATTCTTTAGTGGACTCTTTTTTTGGTTCTTTTATCCAAAAATATTAAGTGCTGTAAATAAATAATATTGATAAATGATGACAAATGATAAATATTGAAAGTATGGGAAATGAGCTCACACACAAGGACTACATTTCAAGGCTGTTCCCTTCTCTGCGAGAAAAGGTATGGCAGCACCACCTGTGCATTTAGTGCTATATTTTAGATGTGTCTATGAGGAAGTAAGGAATTTTGATAGCTCATGTCCTTAGATAAAGCTGTTTAGGGGTTAACCTTAGGAATCCAGTATAAAGAAAACCAGAAGGAAGAATGGAAGGAAAAAAAAAAAAAAACAGTCACTTTTTGGAAGGAGGTGAGAAATGCAAGGGACTTTTTTCGATGGGTAAGATGTGCTGGGGCAGGGTAGATGCATATCTGGATTTCTGGGTTTTTGCAGAGAATGCAGATCAATCCGTGCTGGATGAACTCTGCGCTATCTCGAGCTGTGCAGGGTCAGCGCACTCCATGTCGCCAGCTCGCCCTGGCTCCCCTTGGCAGCGAGCAGGCAGTGGGGACAAATGCCAGCAGAGTGACGCAGCACGTTCTCGAGGCACACAGCAGCACTGCTCTGTCCGGAGGAATCGTGGTGCCGAGCGAGCCCTGCGCTGAGCTGCAGAGAGGCCATCCGCAAGCGGCAAAGCGCCGCTCGTGCTCGTGCCCACACGTATTGCCCCACACGGACACATCCCTCGCACAGTTTCAAGGAAACGGCACGCTTTAAAAGGAGGAACCCAAGCTGAGCGGCTCGGGGACAGGCGGGGGCAAAGGCAGCCCCGTCCTTACATAACCATTGCTTGAAGAGACGCAAGCCCCACGCTCACCCCTCGCGTTTTATGACTCGGCACTTTCCCCGGTGACTTTGCCCCTGGCAGTGCTGGGAGCAGCGGTCCCTGAACGGCTCTCCGGCCACGGTCCTGCTCGCTCACCACAGGTAGGCACGTTTCCTTGGCTTTAATGGCTGTTCTGCATGAGAGAGCACTTAACAAAACAATATATATTACTTATTACAGATTATTTGCATCTAGCGCATACGAAGCTCTCAAGTCTATCTATGTGTCTTGTAAGCCTGTGCAAACTCCATGAAATCTTTTGTCTGGAACTCTTTTCCCGAGCTATATCCTTCCGTACTTCTTATTTTAAGTTTTCCTTTAAATATTATCAGATAGCATAATGTAGAGTGTTTACAATTGCAGCCTTTAAGGACATAGTGACTGGTAAGGGCATTGCGCTTGTGTTTGCTGAGTTGTGAAGTGTAAGTTTCTGTAATATTCAATTGCTCTTTTTATTACATTTGCTGAATTTTAATCTAATTAAAAGAGAACAGTGGATTTCCTCTTCTATGGAAAAAGAAGCCAGAATTAGTTAAGCAAAATTAGACATCAACTCTTTTCTATTATATATTTAAATGTGTTTATCTTATACGTCTATCTGTTAATTAGACATCAACTCTTTTCTATTATTTATTTAAATTATATTTGTCTTATAATTTGTCTTGCCTGTTAATTCATTTTTTTCTGGCACAACAGCAACAGGTATATTTTAATTTATAGCAGAGTCTAGCTGGGTCACACACTATAGCATGGGCTAAAACACCAAATACAGGTGGAGGTGGCTTATTTAAGAAAATGTGGAAGATAAGTATAAATGTGCGAGGTTAACACAGCTTATGTATCAAATAAGATACAGTTCATCTTGAACTGATGTGGGGAGGGTGAAATCTCGCAAAGTCTGCAAGCATAACGCTGCTAACTCTGCTTGTGATAGTCTGAAATTATGAGCTGGTAAATGTAGAATATCTTGGTCTCTAGAAATCTGTGCAAATCTTCCGTTTTTAGGGTTTTATTTTCCTAGAGATGCCCCTGTAGTGCCACAAGTACTTAAGGAACATCAATCTGTTTCTTGCTCTTGTGTCTGTGATATATATTGATATATATTGATATATATTGATATATATTGAGCGGTCAAATACTCCCAGCCCCATTTCTGCACTGTGCTGTTGTCTTAGAGCTCAGAGACCTTTGTAATTGTTCCATGGATGGGTTAGGTGAAGTTTTGGATAGAGTCTCTCCATAACCTTGAGCAAGCTGAACATAGGGCACTTGGCGCATATTCACATACATTATTTGAGTCATTGTGCAGCAATATGACCTCTGTTTGCCCAGGTAGTTAATCCAAGCCTAGTGGCTGGTAACTTACAATCACTAACTTGAGACAAGCAGCTAGATAAACTTGTGTCAACATCTACTGGCACTTTTCACCTTTGTGGATAATCTGTTTACCTTGACTTTTGTAATAGTTTGTAAAAATTTAACCACACCTTATTGCCAACTTTTTCAAAAAACATTTAACTAGCTTGAAGAAGTTTTGCTCATGGTCAGTTTTCTTTCTCTTTTTTTTTCTTTCTTTCTTTTTCTTTTCTTTTTTCCCCCTTCTTATCTTGGAGTTTGAATAGTTCTTATTTGTTATTAAATAAATATGACTGCATCCTGTCTAAAACCTAAATAGCTCTAACACAAGTTTTATTTATAGAAAATCAAACCAAAGGGCTGTTTGATGGCACACTTCAGATCTATCGATAATCACTATGTTCACAATAGTACTATAATGATTAAAAAATCAATATTTTATGATACCACTGTGTTTTGATCTGTTTAAGTATGGTATGCAGCAATATTCACTGCTAATTTTTGGTTTGTTTGTTCCTTCCACACTAGTATCACCCATGGCGAATGAAGCCAAACCCTGCCCATGCAATATTGGAGACAAATTTGACTATGAAGGTTGTGGGCAGGAAGTACAAGTTGAGCACATCAAGGCGTATGTTTGCAAACCATCTGGCAAATCAGACAAAGCCGTGATCGTAATTCACGATATATTTGGATGGCAACTCCCAAACACCAGATACATGGCCGATCTGCTCACAGCTCACGGATACATGTAAGAAGTCCTACTGTTTTGAAAGTGTTGTTATAACAAGAAAATTGTCTAGCCAACAATTTCCTTTCCTAAACCACATAAATATGTACAATTTTACATTTTTTTCCTAAGGTATATCCTATTTATTGAAGCAGTATAAGGAATCTAACATTGCTTATTGTTACTACAATAAGTAGAGGGTAGGTAAGTACAGACGGAAAGAGGATAAACAGAGAAAAGTCTGATTTTCCAGCTTTAACAGGGTTATTGGAACACCTTCACCAGGTTTAAACAGTCTCCTTCCTCCTTCCTTGCTTGGCATTTATTGTTATGATAATATTTCCAGAAAAACTAAATCAAATCCTATGAAAGTGAAATGTACCAGCACATGCCAGTGAAAGAAATATAGTCAGATACATGGAAAGCATGTAAGTGAGAAGCTCATGAGATATATGTCTTTCCATGTATTTCCATACATTTTTCTGGTTAATACTTTTTAGCCCAAATGAATGTAACTTGCAAATTGCAGAATTTGGAGGGGATTTGGTAAGAAATTGCTAAATGTTTTTTAATTGCAATTAGAAAATTGTCTTCTTAATGTGTTATATTGGGGAGAACATATCTGGAAATTAACTCTTCTTATTAGATGCAGAAAAGTAATGAAGGTCTCTGTATAATACACTGATGCAGATTAAATTCTGAGTGTATTAAGCAAAATGAATTTATAGTGTAGAACATTGTGTTATTTCATGGCTTTAAAGTGTTTTAATTTTTCCTACAGAGCCATCTGCCCAGACTTTTATGTGGGACAAGAAGCTTGGAAACCTTCTAATGATTGGGCTTCTTTCAATAATTGGCTAAAAACTCGAGATTCCAGCAAAATAGACAGGTACATCAGATATTCATTGCCCACCATGTGGCCATGCTTCTCTAGTAGGAGTTTTTGCCTCAATAAAGATGCAGGATGAGGTCCAAAATTATTAGTGGGTCAAAGGCAGCAGGGTGTCTGCAAAGAAGAATTCAGTGCTGTTCATGGGTCAAGCTCATGACTGACCCACGTGAAGAGTGCACTTTGAAGAAAAGCAGAAACTTTGAACACGAATAAAAGTGACTATTATTTACAGACACAAATACCATCTGCAGAGAGCAGAAGTGAGATAAATAACTTAAAAGGAAAATAAATGGCTGAGGCTAGAAGATGCAGCAGACTCCTTCCACCCCAATTGGAGACAGCTCCTGAAGGCAGGATCCTTCCATATGGAAGAGTTAAAATGAAAAACATAGTCACAAAACACTATTTCCATAGGGTTTGTTAGTCCTGTTCCCTGTTAGATGCCAGCCAGTTCAAAATACAATACTTTGCCACTCTTCTAGCTGTCATTTTTACCATTTGACACGTGTGATAATGGCATGCTCTTGACTAGCTGTATATCTCTTAAGCTTTTATACTAGTTGGCCCATGAGAAAACTATTGACATATATGTAATTGATTGAGTTGCCATTTGTAAAATCAGGTCAGGTTGCAATAACTGTGATCTAAAGAGAATGATTTATTTATTCTCCTTCATGCGTTGTCTGTTTCACTTCTCCCCTGAAATTTCTCATTTATTTTAGAAAGGAGTGATAGCCTTGACTTACAAAACTATAGTCCAATTTTGATATTGTAATAGTTTAGGATATGATAAAATTAAAAAATTGGGTAGAAATTGTAGAAGATGCCTTGAAATGTAATTAGTTATACTTTATTTTCAGATTTCCAGGAAATACTGTTAGACTTAACTAACTTTCATTTACCTGTCTTAGAGAAATTGATGTCGTCTTGAAGTACCTACAGGAACAATGTGGTGCCAAGAGGATTGGGGTCATTGGTTTTTGCTGGGGTGGAGCAGCAGTACATCATGTGATGCTGAAAAATCCTCATATAAAGACTGGGGTGTCCAACTATGGTAAGTGGAAGTTGTCTGTAATGGGATATGGATGCAGCAGGAAATTTTTCTCTAGGAGTGTTCTGTAGCAAAATTCTGCTTTTGACATTATAAAAAAATGATTTCATTATACAGAATCTTTAAGCAGCTTTACTTCTTGCACATATCTCATCATAAGCAGAAAGAGAAATGTATTCACATGATATGGCCAGGACCACCGCACAGCACAGAGTACAAGAAACACCAAGTGCCAGGGCATCCTTGTGTCTCAGGTTCCTTTTGATAGCTGATTGTTGACCGAACAGTTCCCAGATAAATATTTTATTTCTTTTAGGAGCTTTCAGCTGTTATGGGGTGGATCTTTCTATCTGAATCTTGTTCACATTCGCTTCCATAAATCTTAAGGCAGTTTGCCACTTGTTATCTGTTTTTCCTTGTTTGGGTCATGTCTTTCTTCGATGGCAACCTTTTCGCCATCTGTTTGCACAGGGTCTTCTCCCGATGGGTAGGTCATGGCCACTGTGGGCTTGTCAGCTTGCAGGTCTTCTGATCATGACATAAATAACATGTTCTTCAGTTTTACTCCTGGAAACAGTATCTGTTATTACTAATACAAGCCATTTTTTTTTCCTTTTTTTATTCTTTTTTCTTTTCATTTTTTTAACTCTGTGTTAAACCTTCTCGTATTACTCATACATTTCCATTCATATTACCTTTATATTTGTGTTATGAATCTCTGCAATTCTGTATAACCCAGAACAATTTAGATTCATCTGAGGTGTACAGAAGCTGAAGATATTTTCCTAGAAAGCTTATGGGAACCATTTTGCTGCACTGATTGGTTGAGCATGAATGAATTAATCAATGCTATTTGCTAATTTTTGACTTTTCTGTGGTAATAATACAACCAGTGAGTGACTAGGGTGTCAGTTCTCAGTATTTTACTTTGTTTAAATCCAAATATATTTGAATATTCAAAATTACAAAAGCAGTTTATTCTGACTTTGCATCAGTATAAAATACCTGTACACTGAAACTCTAGCCATGTATCTGACATGATGATTATTCATAATCCTTTTAAGAACAGACATGCCAGGTGAGAGGCTACATGGTGTCTAGAGTCAAGCTTTCACAGTATCCTCTCCCGGATGGTGGTTATAAGCAGCTGGCCAAAAAAAAATTGTAAGAATGGAGCAAACATACAAAGTTTCTTACCTGAACCTTTGAGACAGAGCTGATACTTTTATCTGTAATGCCATCACAAAATATGGGAAATTCACATGACAAAATAAACTTTTAAGTGAATCATGTTTAATCCCTCTACAAACTGATATTTTAATCAGGTCTAACAAAGAGAAATGCCATTTATTTGGATTGTATTGCTTTATTAGTGATTTTAAAAAACAGCATGGATCATCTTATGTCTCTATTTTTGCATAGGAGTGATCAGATTTTTTGAGAATGGATACAATTTACTTCATCCCACTTTCTTCATTTTTGCTGAAAAAGATGAGCACATCCCGCTGGAGCAGGCAAGTTTCTTGTTAGAGCTAATTTTTGTCGTTGTTTTGCATGCTCATTTCATAACTTGGTATTTAATTAAGAGAAACTAGAAAACTGATTTGCTCTTTCCTTCCTCTTTCTCTAACTTAAAATGTGCATGTTCATAGGAGAAAAGGGATAAGCATCCATAATGGGAGTCAAAGGAAGACCTATGCCAAGCTTAGGATAGGATCCTCTCTTTGTGAGAGGATATGTGACTATGGATATGTGACTATGGATATCCATGTGGATATGTGACATATGGATAAGTGACTATCCATATCTTTCACCACTGCCCTGTAGATTTTTATTAAAGTAAATATGGGAATCTTGGGGAGCACAGGTAGAGAAGAAATAGAGAAAGCTGATTATCTACAAAGGAGATCAAAAAGGGAAGTATGCTCTTGTTGACTGTTTCCTTTGCTTTTCCTGCTAAAGACTGCAGTAGCTTTGAACTGAAGGTTTGTATCAATGCCTGTCCTCTGTCAAATCAATTTTAAATGGAATCACTTAATCAAAGAAAGCCAGAATGGTTGAGTTTGGAAGGGAGTCCTATAGATCATCTAGTCCAACTCCCTGAAGCAAAATCTTGCCCTTTTTTTTTCTTGAAGCCAGGCTGTGCTAATTTGAACAGTGATTACTACATGTGATCTTGCTTGTGATAATAAGCAGGAAGAATTTTATATCTTTACAGGTATTATTGCACTGACATATATATATAATATATATTTGGTTATTTTGTACAATCAGATAATATTATTTTACTGTTGAGAAAAAAAATGTCTCAAAAAAAGAAAAAAAAAAAAGAGTGTGGTAGCAAACACATTGGGAACATACTGTGTCTTCCAGGACATGCTGAGAACTGTAAAAAAATAACACATTAATTCAGTATAAGCAATGATGGAACACTCTGTGTTACAGGTTACCCAACTGGAGCAGAACCTTAAAGAAAACTGTAAAGTTCATTATGAGGTTAAAATTTATCCTGGTCAGACTCATGGCTTTATACATCGCAGGAGAGAAGATATCAATCCTCAGGATAAACCTTATATTGAGGAAGGAAGAAAGGATATGATCAACTGGCTGAATAAATATATTTAGCGTCAATAAAATGCCTATAAGAAAAACAATTTAATTTTAGGAACTCAGCAAATGATAGACTATTGCTTAATATATTTTTTAAATAATGAAAAATCAATTGTAAAAGATTTTTTTCTGAAATAACACTGCTTATGTGTACTTATTTTCTAAATAGATGCCTAAGCATTTTCAAATGTCAAAAGCCATAATTATAAAGATTTTAAAATTTTTCCATGTGTATCTTAAAAATACTAAAATCTGATGTGGGATATCCTTCTAATCTGAAATTTCACTTTTTTCATTCATGTCAATGGTTAAGGATTAGAAGACTATTGGAACTCTACATGCACTCTTGAGAAATACACTTGCAAAAGCTGCTTTTACAGTTGTTGGGATGTGGGATTTCCAGCTCTGATGTAAACATAGCTGTGCCTGGAGGGTGTTGAGATGCACATGTTCCAGGAAATCAGGCACTGTCTGTGAGAAATAAACACACTGTCTATGAGAAGTAAACATGAACAGCATTGAATCTGAGTTGTTGTGTTCTAATCAACTGTGACCTACTAGTCCTGGTCAGCCTGCAATATGGTGTGTAGCTCCTGCCAACAAAGCTGAACAGACACTAAAGAAACTCTAGAAAGGTTTCATTAAAACCTCTGTGATATAAGAATCACAGAATCACAGAGTCACAGAATCACAGAATCAGAGAATATTCAAGGTTGGAAGGGACCTCTAGGGATCATCTCGTCCAACCTTCCTGCTCAAGCAGGCACACCTAGAGCATGTGGCACAGGGTGGGTTTGGAAGGTCTCCAGAGAAGGAGACCCCACAACCTCCCTGGGCAGCCTGTGCCAGGGCTCTGTCACCCTCACAGTAAAGAAGTTCCTCCTCACCTGGAGATGGAACTTCTGTGTTTCAGCTTATGGCCATTACCCCTCGTCCTATCGCTGGCCACCAATGAAAACAGTTTGTCCCCTTCTTCCCTGCATTCTCCCTTCATGAACTTATACATATTAATCAGATCCCCTCTCAGCCTTCTCTTCCCCAGAGAAAACAGGCCCAGCTCACTCAATCTCTCCTCATACGAGAGATGTTCCATTCCCTTAATCATCTTAGTTGTTCTTCTCTGGACCCTCTCGAGAAGCTCCATGTCCCTCTTTACCGGGGAGCCCAGAACTGCACACAGTACTCCAGATGCGGCCTCACTGGAGCTGAGGAGAGGGGCAGAATCACCTCCCTTGACCTGCTGGCAACACTCCTCCTGATGCAGGCCAGGATCCCATTGGCCTTCTTGGCCACAAGGGCACACTGCTGCCTCATGGTTAACTTGGTGTCAACCAGGACTCCAAAAATGTACCTTGCTGCTAGTCATGGGCCCTTGGTTGGTGACTGGGACCACTCTCCATTTTCGCTGCTGAACTCCATGTTCCCTTTGGCATGTTGCGGCTTAACTTTGGGCAGAATTGGGCTTATTCTTAGGTGTCTGTGCAGCGCAGGGGAAGCTGATTCAGGCTTGTAGGGTTCTGCTGTCCCTGCACCACTCACCTGGAGGATTCATGGCGCTGTGAGTCATGTTATTTAAGATAATTCTCCCCTCAAATCAATGTTGAGAAGTTCCATGGTGATCCTGCTGTTAGGCTGGGCTTGTACTGCTTCCCTGTGATGTACAGACAGAGGGAAGGCCAGTGACTTCTGTGTGTCCTGAAAGCCCCGTTACAGTTATGAGACCGTCATATTTAGGAGAAACTGCTCCACGTGAGAGAATGGCAGACACCTTCACTCACCTATGGAACCAGGTCTCACCAGAGTGCCTATAAAGTCCTGATATACTGTGCAGTATATGAACCATACTGAACCATGCAGTATGTGTACCAGCAGTGTATGAACCATAACACAAGAAGCCAAGATGGCCATGTGGTTCAGAAAGTCTGCAGAGTGTGAATTCAGTTCCCAGCTTTACAGTCTCATATTGTTTCTCAGCATTGCTGTGAGAACAGAGATGATGGATGATGACATGGTTTATGAAAACAAACTCTACGTAACTATTGCCTCCTATCGATTTTAAATAAAAGAATCTTGATTTCCTTCATTAATGACTTGCTGACATGTCTCACAAAAGACAATCCAATCCAGGTTGGAAGGTTATTTTTTGTGCTTTATTTATTTATTTTTAATGTGAAGAGACAGATGTCTCAGGCAACTGAGGCTAAACTTTACCCAGTTTCTTCTGAAAGACGGGAATGGTGAAACTGTGGGGAGTATTTTGTCCAAGTTCATTGTCCTGGGAGAATTCAGAGTAGTTTGTTCTAGGACAAGTATTGCATTTCATCATGCATTTGTCTTCTTTGGAGGGTAGAAATACGACATATGAATTGGGAACTTTGAAAGTTAGCCAGTGCTAATACCTACTTTACTAAAACACACACAGAGCCTCAGAATTCACTCCAGAGAGTACCCTTTTTGTCTAGAGAGAACCCACAGTGTATGTAGGTCATGATACAAAAAAAACTCAGGTGGTGGAACTGAGCCACCTTAATATGAGGCAAATCTAGTAGACCAGAGTAGACATACCCAGGGCTTGATTGGAAGATTTCAGATTTCACCTTCGTAGCCCCAGTGACATCACTGAGACATATTAATGTTAACCAGAGTTACACACTCATGGCTTGCTTCTAGAAATCATTTTTAATCTGTTTTCCCAAAGAAATCTCCTGATTTCTCGACTATGTGATTGTGTTGTCTCGTTCCCTCCTTCCTAATAACTTTGGAGTTTGAGGATGAATTTCAGTCAAATTTGACCAAGCAATGAAGTCCTCAGCTATTTATTTCTTACAAATTTCTAGAAAATCTAGGCTGCATAGAGGGGACAGCCTCGTGGCAGTGTGAGTTCAACAGTTCTGTACGATCTGGATTGCTTGCTGACCAGTTGTCACACGCAAAGCTTGGACCTCTCTTGCACAAGGGTTGTCAGAGGATATAGGAAGGAGCGGGGAGTTTAAACCAGAAAGTGGAGTAAAGGCGAGTGGAGATGCAGGGGCACAGAAGGGAACAAGCATGGGTTGAGGATAATGACATGGATATGAAGAACAGAGATCCTGTTGGAGGGTGAAAATGCAGAGGAAATGGAGGTTGTTAAGAGAACTCTGGTGGAAAGCAAATCTCATCCTTAGCTAAAGGAGAAAAATGTAAAATGGAAAGGCAATAAAAATAGCTCAACAGAATCTCTTTGTTTCTACTGTGCTCAGGGTAAGGATTTAAATATGAACAGTTTGCATTGTCTTGAAATCTGGTCTCCAGTTATTTTCCTTCCAAAGCAGTTCCATGTAGCAGTAGTTATACAGCTGTACCTGCTACTTGCTGAATTAGGCAGTTTGCTTAAACACAAATCTTTGAGCCCCATGACTACATCTGTCTCCACTGCTCAATTCTCCCTTCCACGCCCCAAAGACAGCTTTCAAAAATCTTTCTGCCAATGCCTTATTTCTACAAGTCGCAAACTCAGACTGTAATTTGACTCTATCCAGTTCAGACTGCCAGGGTCTTTCAAATTTAATCAGTTTTTATAATCATTAGGGATTGCTGTTGACATTGTGTATTATGGGGTAGATTAATTTTCATCTGTTGTAAAATTTTGTTGGTAAAATATCTCATGCATTTCTACCTTCTGAGACGGCAGCACGTAATCAGAAATCTGAAGAAGGATATTACTGACTGACATGCTCCTTCCTCCTCTTCTTTTGAAGAGAGTCTCGAAGGGGTTTTGCTTTTGATTAGTAATTTGACGGGCAAATAATCTCTCTCAAACAATATCATAGGACAACTTTTAGAGCCTGTCTTCAAGAGGAAGTTACAGCATTTTTTATTCTTTCCATTGCAAGAAGGAGAACTTAGAATCCTTCTGATTTTAACTTTCATAGATCAATTGGGATCTTGCTCATTGCTGCTTATGTATCATTGCTTCCTGCATGGTCTGCCTGCAGGAATCCTTGGTATCTGAATGAAGAAGGTTGTATGGCCTAAGCTGACACAGTAGGTCCCCTTTGAGAAAAAGTTCAGGGACTGGAGAAAGACAGGAAGACTAAGGAGAGCAGAAAGAAGAGCCCTAAAGAACATAGCAAGTATCCTGCCAGAGCTGATAATCTCTGTTCTCAAGAAGATAGAAATTTTTTATATAGGGAAATTATCAAAACCCAGCTGCAATCTAAATTGCTTCTTCCTGTGCCAGCTTAGAAGTTGAATCTTGGACTGATTTCTGCTCATTCACATGAATATTTGGTAGTATTTCATACATTTAATTATTTTCTTATTACACAGACTTCACTTCTCGTTCTTTATCATTTGCTTTGACATTTAAACATTGAGTAGGAGCTTCTTTTCATGAAATATTAGTACATTATTTATGGCAACAATTTTTAATCAACTTGATGACGCACCGTGTTCTATTTTCTGCTTTCCTTTCTGTTAAGATGATCTTTACTATTTCCTTTTACTCAGAGGTCTATAAAAGTATATAGTCAGCATTTTATTTTTAACTTTTTTTTTTTTTAATCTCCAGAATCCAAACAAAAATTGTTTTTATTGTAAAGGTCACAGGAAGAAAGGACATAGATAGCTGCTCTCCCACCAAACAAACACACACACACATAGCTGTGCCAATATTTCCATAAAATGAAGTTCATTTGGCCAGCACAAAAAGTATCTGCTATCTTCTGGCCCATAGGCATATATGCTTACAGTACAGTATAAAAGACTGGGAACTTGCTTTAAAAATATGTCTCACTGCACAGTGTTGGCTATGTTAGCATGAGGCAACTCTCTCTCCTCAGGTTGCAGCTTTAGTCAGGAGCAACATCTGGCTCTAAGGTACTCTGCTGCTCGGTCCTGAAGGGTTTCTTTTTGGCCTTGCTTTTTCCAGAGTTGGCTCTGGGAGGGAAGCTGAATGATTGCTGTGCTGGGCTTCACGACTAAAGGAATAAGCAGAAAATGAACTGTGAGATGGAAGGAATGGTAGAGATGGTCATGTTGGCACATTCAACTTTGGCCCATCAGAGAACCTTGTTATAACTCATTGATTCATTTGGTTACTTCCACAGAC